GAGGTGGGAGCCGGGAGCCAGGATGCGCCGCCACCCGGAGGCCGCCCACCGGAGCCGAGCCCAGAGCCTGCAGCCCAGGGAAGAAGCGGGGTGTGCGACAAGTGCTCCCCGGAACCCCAGCGACCACTCACCCATTGGCCGCTGGTGAGTTTCCCCGGAGAAGCTCCGGGATCACCCGAACCGGCCCGCTGCGCCCGGACATCCGGGCCACAAGCGCCTCGGCGGTTCCGCCTCCTGGTAACCCGGGCGACCGCCCCGAAGCCCCGCCCCCGCCTCGCGCTTCCTTGCCTGGCCTCCGAGGCCCCGCCCCCTGAGGGGGCCAAGGGTCCTACCGGGTTAGCGCCAAGTACGCGGGTGAGGCCCGGGTTTGAAGCGCGCGCAGCCGGGCGGTGGTCGCGTTCCGGGATGGAGACGACCGAGAGCACGCTGCCGATGCCCCGGCTGCCGCCGCACGACCCGGCGACGCCGGCGCTGTCGGTGGTGGACATGCACACGGGCGGCGAGCCCCTGCGCATCGTGCTGGCCGGCTGTCCCGAGGTGGCGGGCCCCACGCTGCTGGCCAAGCGGCGCTACATGCGCCAGCACCTTGATCACGTGCGGCGCCGGCTCCTGTACGAGCCCCGGGGCCACCGAGACATGTACGGGGCCGTGCTGGTGCGGAGCGAGCTGCCGGACGCTCACCTGGGCGTCCTGTTCCTGCACAACGAGGGCTACAGCTCCATGTGCGGCCACGCCGTGCTGGCGCTGGGCCGCTTCGCGCTCGACTTCGGGCTGGTGCCGGCGCCCCCGGCCGGCGCCCGCGAGGCCCGCGTCAACATCCACTGCCCGTGCGGGCTGGTGGCCGCCTTCGTGGAGTGCGAGGGCGGCCTCAGCCGCGGCCCCGTGCGCTTCCACAGCGTCCCGGCCTTCGCGCTGGCCACAGGTAACCGGCGGGACCCTCCCGCCCCCGGCTGCAGCCCGAGACTCGACTAACTGCACGCTCTCCCCGGGCTGGAACCCACGCCGCGCAACTAACCTGCCCCGCAGCCTTCGCAGTTAATAGAAAGGTAACCCTAAACCACTGCGGGTGTGCATCAGCCTCACAGCCTTCAGGGCTTGTTTGGTGCGTGCAGTGCCGTCCCCCCCGCCCCCGTCAGTCGGCCTGGGGTCTTGGAACCTGGAGCAGCGCAGAGCTCCGCGCTGCCTCAGCACCGCCTCCCTACCC